TTTTTACACTGGAGGTCTTAGCAGACATAATCAGATCTGAGAATCAAATAAGCGGTCTTAAACTACATGGAGAAGAGTATAAGATACTGGTGTTTGCAGATGATCTTGTATTTATTTTAGAAAATCTTCTCAATTCAATACAAACCCTGAAGGAAAAACTACAGGAATATGGGAGAGTAGCAGGACTAAAAGTGAACATAAACAAAACAAAGATAATGACAAAAAATATGACGAATGAACAAGCCTTATTACTTCAGCAGAAGTTGCATTTTTGACTGCAGAAAAAGATAAAATACTTAGGAGTAATGTTGACTAATAAATGCAGCACACTGCAGGAAAACAACTATAAAGAACTTTTAAAGTCTACAAAGAAAGACTTGGAAAAATTGAAAAATTTCCAAATATCTTTAATGGGTCAGACGGCCATAGTTAAAATGAATATATTACCAAGATGGTTATTTCTATTTCAAACAATACCTACCTTGCAAAGTCAAACAATTTTTAAAGAGAGAGACAATTTAATTTCAAAATTTATCTGGCAAGGGAAGCGTCCAAGAATAAAACTTAAAGCTCTTCAAGATTCTAAGGAAAGAGGAGGCTTTGCGTTATCAAACTGGCTGCTTTATTACAGAGCATCAGCTATGGCCTGGATTAAAGACTGGATTACTTTAGAAGATCAAAGACTTTTAAAACTGGAAGATCATGACCTGATGCTAGGCTGGCACGCTTTTTTATGGTACGGGAAAGCCACAGTACATAAATATTTTAAGCAGCATTGGCTGAGAGCATCTTTATTGAAAGTCTGGGAACTGTTGTATAAACAATTATATACAAAGAACTCGAAGCTGATTGCACCTTTAGAAGCCTTTACAAACCCCAAAACCTATTATGAAGAGAATGTAAAAAGATACTCAGACATTCTAGACTCTAAGTTTAATTTGAAACCATTACTGGATTTGTGGTGGCAAAGGGCACAAATTGAATCTAGATTCTCTAAAGACAAAAAATTAGGTTTTCATGAGAATTTGTTAGAATTTGTTAGAGTTTGAAAAAAAAATTTTTTAACAGATCAAAAATTTATTACAAAAATGTATATTTTTCTTCTTGATTATATGATGTTGAACGAAACGGTTAAAACCACAATGATTCAATGGGTGCAAAATTTGGGACATAACATTGACCTAGATCAATGGGACCAATTATGGAAGAAAAACATAAAAAGAATGAAAGCGGTCTCTTATAAAGAAAACGTTTATAAAATGTTTTACAGGTGGTATGTGACCCTAGAAAAGTTAGCTAGATACAACAGTAAGTGTTCAAACAAATGTTGGAAATGTCAAAATAAGGTGGGGTCATTTTATCATATGTGGCGGGGTATAAATCCAATCTCTTCTTCTTTGTCATCTTTGACAATAGCACACGAGAGGCTGATGGTAATTAAAAACTAACAAACTGCTTTATTTCACTTCTGAGGGAAAATGGTCAGGTTGGTATCAGGTTTAGGACTAAGAAGGTGAACAGGAAACAGCAATGAAGTAACTTTGTAGTAATATAAATAATAGATAGTTTGTCACAAACTAGTAGCTGTTTAGTTATACAGACAGGTCTTTAAAACTGAGGAGAGTGTTTTCTTAGCAGTCTCTGCATAAATAAACAAGCATAAGCTTCTTTGTCTCAAAGATACTTAAGCTGGTGAAGGCAGGAACCTTCACACAAGTTCCAATATCCCTTCTTAGCCACTTGGTAGGGATCACCCCCCCCCCTTACTAGGAGCTATTGCCCTCAGGGAAGGACCACTTATACCACTTCCATAACTCAGGACCCTTCTTGATTCATTAACTCTGCTTACCTCTCATTCACACTCAACTGTCATTCTCAACTACCACTCCTAACTGACACTCTCAATTGTAGAATCCTACTTAAATTCCCTGTCACTCAAGGTTCTCAGAACGGGTTAAAGCATTAACCATTTAATGTCCATTACACTTTCCTCACAGAGTTGCTGTGATGTTCAAATGGATGAGAGGAGAATTATGTAAGTGGCTTTCGGTCCTCAATGGAGAGAAAGGCAGGATATAAGTAAACTAAATGAATAAATAGAGCCATGAAAAAAGCCAATATATTAAATATAGTGCAAAAGGTGTGTGCTTTTATTTTATATGCAAAGATATGCAAATAGATGGAACTGATGGAATTAGTTATAAAGAGTAAGCTCAATCTGTGCATGAAATTACAAATGATAAAGCTGAATTTACCTCTTGTGTTATTACTGCCTAGCCATGCTGGGATGCCTGCTTACTGCCTAGTTGTGCTGGGATTTATACTGCCTAGCAGGGTATAAATCTAATCAAATAAATAAATAAATGATTTTAATTTCTGCCTGGAATTGGCATGGATAGGTAGCAATATACCTCTGCTTACTGTCTGTCGCTTTGGCATGTTGCCTCCATTGCTGAATGACAATGATTACACAGTATGTGTAGAGCTGTTTGGACTATCTCAACAAAGGCATTCAAGTACTTTGGGGCTGCTGGGATATGCCTGATATTACTGTGACTGCATGAGTATATTAAATATTCCCCTCAGTAAAGCTATCTCAGATTCCAGCATCTTCAGGTCTCAGTGCTTCTTCCAGGGTTATCCTAGGAACATTTTCATTTTGTCAAATGATCCCTTGGCTGTTGTTTCTCTTTGTCCAATGTTGCCCAGAAGTCACCCACCCCTGGGGATAAACCACCCAGAAGCCCCCCACCCTTGGAATCCTGTACCTCTGGTGTATCAGACAAAGGGAAACAGCTACTAGGGTCCCTCCCCCATTTTGGAAAGCATATTTTCAGCTATTAAAGAGAACTTTAAAAGTAGTCATACATACAGGGGAAATAAAATGCCAACCAAGGCCAGGAGAGCCCCAAGGCACCTATTATCAAGTTCCTGTCTTAGATACCTGGTAACTATTTTAATTCCACCCAGCTGATATCTGTGAATGATGTACTCCCAGAGTTGTAATCTAATCAATTTCACCCAGAATGAAAGCAGGAATCCTTCCTGGCCCAGATGCAGAACATTAACTTGGTCAATTTCTACCACTCCCCAAGCTACTCCTTTGACTTTTCATCTTAATTCAATCAAGTTCCCCACATACCCTGCTAATCTCTCAGCAGGCATTTGTAGCACCACCAAAAACTGGACTTTCCCCTCCAAATTCAAACACCAACGGTCCAACAGACAAAAAGTATAAAAAGGGCTCTCGTGTCAGCAATTTGGATTTGGCCATCCTTAGGATTCAGTGATCAATCTGGAACAATGCAAGGACTCTGTCTTGCCCAAGGACTATCTTCCTCCCCACAAACTTCAAGGAATCCTAGACCACGCCCCCCCTAGCTTTTCATTGGACTGGCATTCTATCTTTCTATCCCACCTTGCCACAGAACTACCATTCAGGTAGCAACCCTCCCCCCCAGTATCTTTACATAGGATTAAATTGTATACTAAGTTCCTCTGGGTATATATGATATTTTGCTGGACCAACTACTTAGTCAGAATCATCTCTATCTCACCAGTTTTGTTTATGCTATGCTTTTTATTCTACATTATAAATTATATTACGTTTGCTTCTGCAAATATGGTACCAAGTGTGACCCATGTACACACAGGCTTAAGGGGTCCCAAAAGACATGCAGACTTGGTTTAGGTAAGAAAGGCTGGCCCTGTGTACAGGGAGCAGTTTGTGTAACACCAGAGTGTGTGCCTTTTTAAAAGCTGGATGTACAATTCATGGAGTCAGACATTGCAGGAAGGAAAGTTTTCTTCCTTATGCTTAGGATTCTTACTGTGAAGTCCGGACCAAACTGGAAAATGGGTCCTTTCATATGGACATATGTTTAAGGCTCACGTCTTCCAGACGACACACACACTATTCCCATATCAACCATAAGCCTTAATCACGAAGCGAGCATGATGTTTCCATAAACTCATATTAGTAACGGAAAACAATCCCATCCAAAGAGGTTTCCAAATGAATTCTGGTAAATTGTCAGTTAATAATTCCATGCTCATGACGATCTCCTCAGTGCCTAGAGCTCCTTCCCACGCAGGGATTGTCTTGCCTTTTCCTTGCACACATACTCCTGCCCCACCCTCCGCTGGGAGGGGCCGTTTCCGGCAAGCTCTGACGGGTAGTACTCGGCTGATCAGGGGATGATCTCCAAACACTTAGCGCTCAGTCCTGGACATTAAAATTAAAAAGGAGTCGAGTGGCACCTGAAACAAGCTTCGGCAAAGATTTCAGGCACTAAGGCCACTCTGTCGTTCACATTCTTTTGTAGTGGGCCCGGGATTCCTCCAGGTGTGCCATTTTAGACCAAGCCCCTAGCACTAGACCAATCCACAGTAATCAGCCAACATACAGACTCGGATTATTAATTTTTTACCGTATTATTTTATCTACTTCATTTTCTCATCGATACTGGAGGCAAATTACAATAACCCTGCCTCACACCATTAAGAGTAGCAGCAGTAGTAAACAAAGGCATCGTGGCACGTTTCTTCAGAGGCCAAGATTTCACGTAAGTTTCCATGAATTTCAGATGCTGACATGTGCACCTTCATTCAGAAATAAACGCCACTGAAATAAACGGACTTTCAGAGAAATACCTTTAGAACCGGGTTGCCTCTCTGTGGGGAACTCCTTATCCTATGCTTATTGACTTGTAAGCAAATCCCATTGGAAATCAATGGGTGGCGAAGTCTTTTGAAACCAGTGGAATTTACTTTCAAGCAAAAAATGGCTAGAACCGGGTTGAAAAAGCCGAAAGGCAGGACAAGGATCCGAGGACTCCCTCGCCCGGACAGCCCCACCTCAGTCACGTGAGGCTCCGTTAAAAGCAAGGACCATAGAGAGGTTAAAAACCTATTGGCCGAAGACACTTCCCAAGTCTCCACCCCCTCGGAGCACGTTTGCGTCACCACGCCGGGTGGGTCTCGTGACCGGAAGGGGGCGATCAAGAGACGGAAGTGAAAGCGGGGAGGGTGTTTGGCCCCATTAAAGCAGAGCCGACCGTAGCCGAGCGGAGGTGGCAGCGACTTTTTGTCAGAGCCAGTGCGGCGGTGGCGGCTGTCTTCCTTTTCGGTGAGCGCTGGCTGTGGCGGCGGAGTGGCTTCGTGGTCCTTGTAAGGGCCAGGCCGGGTGTCGGGTTCGAGGCCCTCGGTGTGGGGGAGGCTGCGACGCAGTGGGAGCGGACTCGCCCACTGTAGTGGAGGAGGGCCGGGCGAGAGGTCCCAGAGGTTGCCTTGACCCACCCGCCCTTCCTCCGAGGCGCGGAAGTGTGGCCGCCTGTGTCTTGGGCTTGGCTCCTTGGAGAGACGCCCGGAGGTGCTTCCCTTCGGGGCGAGCAGGGGGTGGGGACGGTTGGGCCACCTCTTCTTTTCGTGTGAAGAGAAGTCGGGGCTTGTCGGAGAGCTCCAGTGAGTGCTTCCAAGAGAGGGAGGCGGCAAGAGAAATCCTTGCGTTGCTTCCTCTTTCTCCTCCTCCTTCCCCCTCCCTTTCCTGGGACAAAGAAATGCCGGATCCATAGCCGACCGTTCGTCTCTCGGTGACGGTTTGTGTGAGTGTGCTGCTGAGTAACACTCCGTGCCTGGCCCACTCAACTTATTGAAGGTAACCAAAGCGGTGAGCAGCTTTGCAAGCCTGTCCCGGGTACCCTGCTCCCCGCCCCTCCGAGCTAAACAGTAAGGCTTCCTGTAGTTCTCGTCTGAACAGTTCGTAGGTAGGGATACACACCTTGACTTATGTGCCGCTCTGATGTTTCGTATGAGCGGTGTGTTCCTTGTATTTCATGCTTAAGTAATTTGCTGCCTCTGTGTAGTAGTTTAATAATGAGTGTCCTTGTAGTTAAGGTCTAATGGATACTACTGGTTTGTTTGCTCTCTAGTGATATGTGGCAATCTCCGGAGATGCCTGCCCTGTGGGTGGCTGGCTGCAGGACACAGCTTTTCTTAGCCAGCAGGAAAACTTATACTTGGATCTGTCTTTGTTGTGTAAATGGTTGATTGTTCTGTGCAAGGGCAGTTATAAATACCAATTTTAGTATTCTCTAAATGTATGGATGATAGATTAGTGGAACAAGCTAGGTAATAAACTGCTCCTTCTATTATCTGAATAGTTAAGTATGAGATCACTGCTTAAACTGGTAGGGTAAACAGGTCATACCCTCTGTTGGCAGTCAGCCCCCTTTGTGTAACACCCTCTTTTGGAATGCTGCCTGTAATTTTGTTTTTGGAAGCCACTGTAGTCTAAGCAAGATTTCAGATGGCTCCAAGAGTGCTAGTACTAGCCAAGACTCAGTGGCAAATGTCCTTGAGTCAGAACACTACATGTTATCAGTGCTACTGCTTGTATACAATGAAGCTGATGGACTCTACTCTGTTTTTATAGGCTTGGTGTCTTAAATGTCTTAAGCATGACACAATAGTTGATGTCTCAGACAATAGAAATGGTATGTCTAAACTGACTAAACTATGGTCAAAAAGCTGCAGAAGGCAATCAGCCTTCACTTATGTTGCAGAAGGCAATCAGCCCTCACTAATATTAACTATGGTCAAAATGTTGTAGGAGGCAATCAGCCTTCACTAAATTTTAAGTGAGCCCGCTTTCTGTGTGATTTCTGTCAGTTATTATCACAGAGTAATCCAAGCACTCCTGGCTGTAGGTAATCCCTCAACTGCTGCATACTTAATCTGGTATCTCGTGTGAACTATAGCATGATAGATGGTATAAACACTCAGTATATAGATATTATTTTTTGTTAGTGTTTGTCAGCTGCTGGGGAGTGAGTTTGACTTTCAGTGGGTGGAGTCTACTTCTGTGTTGTAAGCCATGCCCTTTTAGTTGGGGAAGAACGAGCATACTGTCTTCTCTTGTGATTGTAGCAGCTGATGAAGCACATGATCTAATTCATGGGTGCTAAACTAGAATTTGGCTAGATATAGGGAACAAATAAGTGCTAAGTTGTGAAGGAGCTATCAAATGCAGCCTTTTCTGCTTTAGGTATCCTGGCATGTTAACTATGCAGAAAGGTGGGGGATTCTGTAATGTCCAAGAAGCTACATGCTACGCTGTTTTCTACTCTGAATGCAGGGTTTAGTTTGTCATTCTTTCACTTAAAATCATAGAGCTGGAAGAGATTTCCAGGGTCATCTAGTCCAATCCCCTGCACAATGCAGGAAATTCACAAATACCTCCCCCCCACACCTCCAGTGACTGCTGTTCCAAGCCCAGCGGATGACAAAAAAGAAGAAGAAAAAGAAGAGATTGGATTTATACCCCGTCCTTCACTACCCAAAGGTGTCTCAGAGCGGCTTACAAACTCCTTTCCCTTCCCCTCCCCACAACAGACACCCTGTGAGGTGGGTGGGGCTGAGAGAGCTCTTGACAGAAACTGCTCTTTTTCAAGAACAGCTCTTATCAGAATTACGGCTTGCCCAAGGTCATCCAGCCAGGTGCAAGTGGAGGAGTGGGGAATCAAAGCCAGTTCTCCCAGATTAGAGTCCGCGCACTTAACCACTACACCAAACTGGCTCTCTCCAGGATCTCCATCCAAACCTCCAAGATCTCCATCCAAACTAGCCTGGCGAAAAATTGCTTCCTGACTTCTAATCTTGCCAGTTCAGAATTATAAATAGTAGGCTACACTTTCAATATCTGGGTAACCAAATAACTCCCACTTTAGAAAAATATTGGTAATACTAAGGCTGTAGAATGACAATAGCAATAGGAATTTCTACAGTCTAAGTAGTGGAAACATGCTCTTTACTGCACTTTTGTAATTGATTACAGAAGCTCCCACCAAGAGTACTCCTTTCAGGAGTGGTATTTGGAGTTCATCCTAGTATCTATAATTTTGTATCCCAGAAAATGTACCTTCTGTTCTGAATTTCTGTAGTTAAGCTTTCCATTGTTAGAGAATGTCAGTGAATTGCTAATTTATGGATTTTGCTAATTTATGGATATTCAATACATTTTGCATGTATTGAATATTGCTGTTGGCTTACACATATTCTTGAAAAACCAAGCTAATTCCTTTGGGTGGACAAGATGGGTTTCAATTTCGGCTGCCCACCATGAAAGGAAAAGACAGCATTGCTCTGAAACCATTTTTGTATTTAATTTGTATGCTAAAGTCAAAACGATATGTACTGTGAACAACATAAATTCTTAGTATCTGCCAGAGATTGACTTTAAAAGAAGGGTAAATGTATGAGAATATTAGTTAAAGGACATTTACCTATAGATTTTGATTAACGAGTAAAGGAGAAAAGAGGGGAATATAAGATATGGGCTGGAGGTTGGAGCACTGTGGCAAGTCAGAAGGGGTAGGGAAATAGAAGAAAAGGATATATATGATATTTAGTAATGTGATATATGTTTGACCTATTAATATATCCTAATAAAATTGTTTTTTTAAAAATAATAAATTCTTAGTATTTGTCTACATTTTAGACTCAGTGTTGTGGTTAAGAAATGGAGGATTAGTCAAAAAGTTCCTGGTTCATATCTGACCACAACTCAGTAGGTATCTTTGAGCAAACCATTTTGGTGTCAAGGCCTCCATTCTCGATCTCCAATTGGGAGATATACTGATATAGTTTACTTGGGGAAGTGTACATGGTTCTCCCTTTCTAGGGAGCCCAAAATCACCAGCACGTTTTCCAGGCAGAGTGGAGATTTGGATCTGGGGCTCCCAGATCCTGCTAACCCCACTACACCTGGTCCATCTGGCTATCCAAAGTGCTTTGCCCATTCCAAAACATTGTGTAGTGCTAAGTATTGAGATTGCTTTCATGAAAGTGATCAGCTAAGCAAAACAGTGGCTACTAGCCATGGTAACTGCAGGGAATGTCCATGTTCAGAGACAGTTAACCTTTGAATGCCAGTGCCAGGATGCAACATTCCGGGGGGGGGGGAGAGAAGGCCTCAGCCTCTATGCCCTGTTGTTGTACCTCCAGAGGAACTGGTTGGCCACTGTGTGGGAAAGGATGCTGGACTACATGGACCACTGGTCTAATTCAGCGGGGTTGCTTTTATGTTCTTAATTTTTATTCCGCTGTAGCAAAGGTTTGCAGGAGTTCTTCCAGCAGTCTGGAGTTCTGTGTTGAAATGCTTGTGGGTGCTATGAGTTTTGTCTGGGTGGGGTGCAGTGTTCCCTCTAAGCTGAGTTAATGTGAGCTAGCTCACAGTTCGCTTCCGGCTCACACAGCTTAGAGGGAGCATTGGTGGGGAGTATATTTGGGTACAGGCAAACATGCAATTGTGATGAAGTGTCTGATTCTTATCCAGGATTGGTTCATATTTTCTTGGAGATAATTGGCAGAAGCATACATCAGTGTCCAGAATCTTCTGTGATAGCACGGAATTTCCAGTTTTAGGGAGCTAGCAATGCCATATTTGTTAGCTATGTCATATCCTGCGGAGTAGTTTTGAGCTGAGTGATCTTGCCAAACTGTGCTGTCCTAACAAGATGTAGATGGTTGTAATGTTTGGATGTTAAGGGACAAGAGACTATTTTGGTGACAGTGGGACATTTAGGTGACCCTTTAATATCCATCTGTTGGGTATATTTTGGCATTCACTGTAGAGTATAGTTGACTTTTGGCTGCCCTTTGCCTTCTCTGAACAGTATCCTACAACTTCATGGCCATTCTGTGAGGATGCAGAGTAGCTAAACACTGAAGTGGATATATTTGGCATGTCAAAAGCCTTGGAATGGTATGTCTGTCACTGCATTCAGCCTTGGTGTGTTTATGGAGGTCACGGTTGTGATAAGACGCCAGAGTTCCAGGAATGCTGTTCACATGGCTTCTGTTGTCCTTGCTTTTTTGCTGTTTTTCCCTCCATAGGAGCACCTTCTTTGGGGGGCTGTAACTTGGACCCCATAAATCCAATCCTCATCAAACTTGGAGGGCAAGTAGAGGAGAGTCATCTGGAGATCTCTTGCATGTTTGGCATCTTTAATTTGCACAGGATCCATTCTATACAATCCTGACCCTCATGAACCTGTGCTTGTCATTTCCCCAGAAAATGCTTTCCTGGGGACACCTTCTTTGGGGGAGCCATAACTCGAACCCCATAAA